GCACTCACCTGTTAGTCTTAGTTTATCATGACTACAAGCTCTCTGTCGGCACTCACCTGTTAGTCTTAGTTTATCATGACTACAAGCTCTCTGTTGGCACTCATCTGTTAGTTTGCTGTACTGTGGTGGCTGGCTTCAATGTTGTTGTGATGCTATAACCTATGCCACAGTAGGGTCACCCATGGTGGATAGGTTATAGAGAAGCTTCAAAACTAAGACTAGGAAGAAAAGAAAGGCCAACTAGTTCTCAATTGTTAGCCACTGGAAACCTTATCACTAGCCGAACACTGTCAGAGATAGAACAGGAAGATGAGCCCCTCACAACGGAAGGTACTCAAAATAAGACTGGTGCAGAGCTGCCTCCTCGAAGTAGAGCTGATCATAATGATGTGAATGGGGCAAAATGTTTGGGACCTTCATTTGCTGATGGGGCACAACTAAAAATAAGGAGAAACAACAGCAAACATCTATTAAAAACTGGAACATGGAACGCACAAAGTAAGAATCCAGGAAAACTGAAAGTTGTCAAAAATGAAATGGAATAATAAAAATCGATATCCTAGGCATTACTGAGCTGAAATGGACTAGTATCTGATATTTTGAATCTGACAATAACATGGATTACTATGCCAAGAATGAGGACTTGAAAGAGGAATGGCATCACATTCATCATCAAAACGAACATTTCAAGATCTATCTTGAAGTATAATACTGTCTGTGATAGGATGATATCCAAGGAAGATCAATTAATACCAAGGAAGATCAATTAATACCACTATTGTTCAAATTTATGAACCAACCACTAAAGCCAGTGATGATGAAATTGAAGAATGCTACCAACTTCTTGAGTCTGAAATTGATCAAACATGCAATCAAGATGCAATGATAATTTCTGGTGATTGGAATGCAAAAGTTGGAAATAAAAATGTTGGCTCTATAGTTGGAAAATATGGCCTTGGGGTGAAAAATGATGCTAAAGATCACATGACAGAATTTTCATGACCAAGACTTATTCATTGCAAATACCTGTTTTCAACAGAAAAGGCAGTTACTCTCATGGACCTCATCAGATGGAATATACCAGAATCAAACTGACTACATCTGTGGAAAGAAACGATGAAGAAGCTCAGTGTCATTAGTCAAAACAAGGCCAGGGGCAAACTGGAACAGACTATCTATTGCTCATGTGCAAGTTCAGACTGAAACTGAAGAAAATTAAAAGAAGTCCACAAAAGTCAAAATATGATCTTAAACATATTCCATATTAGAGATCATCTCAGTAACAGATTTGATGCATTAAACACTAATATGAACAAAAACCACAAGATGTGTAGAATGACACCAAGAACATCATACAAGAAGAAAACAAAAGATAATGAAAAAGAAAGAAAAGACCAAAATGGATGTCAGAACTGACTCTGAAATTTAGTCTACATCGTAGAGAAATTAAAAGCTATGGAAGAAATGAGGAAGTACAAGAGCTAAACAGAAAGTTGCAAAGGGCAGCTCAAGACAAAATCAAGTATTACAATGAAATGTACAAAGACCTGGAGTTAGAAAACCAAAAGGGAAGAACATAGTCACCATTTTGAAGATGAAAGAACTGAAGAAAAAATTCAAGCCTCAACTTAGAATACTGAAAGAGTCTATGGGCAAAATACTTAAAGATGCAGAAAGTATCAAGAGAAGGTGAAAAGAATACACAAAGTCACTCTACCAAAAAGAATTGGTTTATCATGTCAACAGGGAGCATATGATACAGAACCAACGATACTGAAGGAAAAAAGTCCAAGCTGAAGACACTGGTGAAAAAAAAAAAGGCTTCGGGAGTTAATGGAATGCCAAGTGAAATCTTTCAGCAAACAGATTCAGCACTGGAGGCTCATCTATGCCAACAAATCTGGCCAATTGATTGGAAGAGATTCTTATTTGTTCTCATTCCAAAGAAAGATAACCCAACAATAAGCAGAAATCAAAGAACAATATCATTGAAGTTTTGTAACATAAAGTGGAGAGTATTTAATCTTACATTCCAAGAACAGAGGACCCTAGGACCATCAAGGGAGAAGAGCACAAGTGAAATGCGAGACCTTATCCAGAGAAGCAACGACGCCAGAGATGGAGGCAGAGATGAGGACATGGAGAAAGGGAGCAGCCGAGGGCTCTAGACTCATGCTCATGGAAAGAGAAAGGCTGAGTGCTGGCAGCTAGGAGGCAACCTTGCAGAATGTGCCTTTTGGTTGTTTAAATTATTATATATTCCTCTGTGTTTTGTGTACATCAAAAACAAAACAAAACAAAAAAGAGGAGTAGAAGCAAATACTGTTGAATGATAAATATACAGAGTGGATTGTAATCATTGCAATGAAACAAAATAAGAAAGAATGAGTGTAAAACCAATGCTCTCCCATGTAAGCTATCACTCAATTCACAACAAATACTTTTTTAAAAAGAGAACAATATCATTAACATCACATGCAAGTAAAATTTTGCTAAGGATAAATCAAAAATGGTTACAGCAGTAAATTAACAGGGAACGGTCAGAAATTCAAGTCAGAAGAAGATATAGAATAAGGAATGTCATGGATCTTGATTGACAGCCGAGAATATCAGAAAGATGTATACCTGTGCTTTACTGACTACTCGAAGGCTTTGACTATGTGGATCATGACAAACTATGGATAACATTGCAAAGAATGGGTGCTCCAGAACATTTAACTGAGAAGGTCATGAGAAACCTGCACATATACCAACAGGCAGTCATTTGAACAGGACACAGGGATATGGAATGGTTTAAAATCAAGAAAAGTATGTACCATAGTTGTATCTTGTCACTATACTTATCCAATCTGTATGCTGAGCAAATAATTTGAGAAACTGGATTATGTGAAGAAGAATGCATCAAGATTAGTGGAAGACTCATTAATAACCTGCAATATGCAGATGACATTACTTGCTAGAAGAGAAGAGGACTTAAAATAATTATGTATTGCAGTTCTTTTGCTTTCAGTATGGATTGCAACTCAATGCAAAGAAAACAAAAATACTCACAATTGGACCAATAAATATGATAAATGGAGAAAAAATTGAAGCTATCAAAGACTTCATTTTGCTTGGATCCACTATCAACACTTATGGAAGCAGCAGATAAGAAATTAAACAACATATTACATTTAGGCAAATCTGTGGCAAAATACCTCTATAAAGTATTTAAGAGCAAAGATGGCAGTTGGACTAAGGTGCATGTGATGCAGGCCATGGTATTTTCAATAGCGTCATATACATCTGAAAGTTAAGACAATAAATTAGCAAGACCATGGAACTGATACAAACTTGAATTATGGTATTGGTGAAGAATATTGAAAGTAAACAAGTCTGAGCTGTAAGAAATATAGTCATGATGCTCCTTAGAAGCCAGGACAGCAAGACTTTTCTCTCTCCTACTTCAGTCACGTTATCAGGAGGGATCAGTTCCTAGACAAAGGCATCATGTTTGGTAAAGTTTAGAATCAAAAATGAGGAAGACCCCAGTGAGATGGACTGGCACTGTGACAGCAACAATGGATTCAGACACAACAACAACCATGAGGGTGGAGCAGGACAGGGCAGTGGCTTTCGTGTTGGGCACTGGGTCACTATGAGTTGGCACCTAACACCACCACCAAGTTCTTTGAGGACACTGTAGACTATTGTGTTTTTTTCTAATTTTTGACAAAAATCTGCAGAGTGAGAAACAAGAGTAACTGTCTCCCGAGATGTGTTAATTGTTGAATGGGGAACTTCCTGTCAATGTCAGACCAGCAGTCCTCATGCTCGGCTGCACGTCAGACTCCCCAGGGTCCTCTGTAAGCTCTTGACACCCAGGCCACAGGCCACCCCAATTCCATCAGAATCACCTTTGCGAGCAGGGCTCAAGAACCAATATTTTTAAAACTCTCCAGATGATTCCACCAAGCAGCCAAGTTTGAGAAGCAGTGTTGAAGACATCCCCCATGGTGACCATGAAACAATGCAGGGCTGGGCACTGGAGATGTGGCCTCCAGTCTGCTCAGCTGACCTCTGCCACAGAACCACCCTGGGTAAGTCCTTCTACCTCTGTGGACCTCAGTGACCTAACAGTAAATATGTGGATTTGAAATTGGCAAGTGTTGCATTAAATATATTTCCACCACAGCAACAAATAGCAGATAAAAACTAAATACGCAGGTGACACAACAATCTTGAAGAGTCCTTCCATTTCTAAAAGCTTTACCCATGTCACCAGCTAACTGAAGACTGGCAAGCATTGCTAGGTGGTGGCTAGACATGGAGCCAGAGACCAGGCACCAGCTTCCTATACCCACCAAGGCTGGAGAACTTGTTCCTTTCAAACTATTTATAGAAATGTGGGGCAAGATGAAGGACATCAGACTCCCCCAAGGTACTGGTTTAAAACCTAGGGAATACATTAGACGTGGGGAGGGTTGGGGTGAGGGTAGAAGAGGGTAGCTTCAGGAAGCTATATTTAAACAATGCCCTTACCTTGTGGCCCCCGCCTCCAGCAAGCTGGCTGCTCCTGTCTTGGTACCCTTCCCCTCCTCCCTGTAGAAGTCTCCCACCTGGCCATCACTCACCTGCAATCTAGCCAAGATACTGGCTTTCTTGGAGTTGGAGGAGTAGCTCCGGGAGCAGGAGACACTGCAGAAGCGCTTGGTCTTGGAGAAGAAGGCTTCTCTTGTGCCCACGATGCCACACATCTCACAGACAGCTGGAAAAAGAACTCAGCATGTGACTCACCCAATACAGTCCCTTCAAATCACACAAATGAGGAGGAACCTTTCAAACCCAAGTGGTTCTATAGCCAGGTGTACCCCAGGCCCCACTGTGACAGACAGAACTGGTACACCGGAAGGGGACAGCGATTCTGGCATGCAGTCTGGATCTATTTTGCCTGAGATAAGTGCCTGGGCATTCATTGGCTATGTGTGTCAATAGTAACCCACCTTCCGCCATTGAGTTTATTCCAACCCAAAGCAACCCTAGAGGACAGGGTAGAACTGTCCCAGAGGGTTTCCAAGGCTGTAATCTTTACAGACGAGGCCTGGTGTGGCATTGCTGTGGGCTAATGCGTCAAACTGCAAAGTAGTTTGAACTGCAAGCTCGGTGGTTCAAGCTCACTAGCTGCTCCTTGGGAACCCTATACAGGGTCACTATGGGTCAGAATCGACTTGATGGCACTTAACAACAACAACAACAATCTTTACAGAATCAGACTGCCACATCTTTCTCTCATGGTGTCAACAGTAAAGCTGAGGAAACCATGAGGACCACTGGAGAAATATGAAGGGACTTCAAAAAGTTTGTGGAAAAATGCAATGAAAAGATAACGGGATTCTTCCACAAACTTCCTGAAGCTCCCTTGTAGAAGGAAGGAAAATTTGCAAGAAAGGCAAATGTGAGGAAAAAGAAATACAGGGAGAGGGTGTCTTAGGCAAGATGGTGGAGTAAGCCCTGAGCAGACCGTCTGCAACAAACACATGAGAGACTGAGTAAAGCAGTTACAGATGGTGGTCCTGGAACCCTGAGTGACAGAGGGGAGAACAGAGGGGGGCTGTGTGCCCACTGGAAGAGGAAGCTGAAGCAAGAGAGAAGAAAAACGGACAGTGTGGGCTGGTATGGTGTGGTGTGGCCATCTTAAGCTTTGTGAGCGGCTATGCAGTGGCCTGCAAGCTCAGGATGTGGCTGGACGTTGGCAGCAAGGGGCCTGCAGTTCTCCCTTGTTTCCGTGCCCTACTTGTAGCCAAGCACATGGCCAGTCCCCACCACCCCAGCAGCACCCCTTCCTGCACACAAAGCAGACTCTGCCTGTATAGCACCCCCTGCTATACAAACAGTACACAGAAAACTGTGTTCACACCTCCAGTGTCTCCAACAGCCACGAGAAGATAGGTGATGAGTCCCTGAGAATCATCAACGAAATATAAAATACGACACCACAACATCTGAGAGAAAACAATTTCAGCTTACATAAAGAAACAAGACAGGCTGCCCCAAACAAAGGACCAAACTACAGAGACAGAAAATGTAACAGTAGAAAATGGTATTGGAACTACTTGATTAGGAACTTGTTAAATGCTGTTGAGGTGGTTCCGACTTATAGTGACTCTGTATAGGGTTTCCAAGGAGCAACTGGTGAGTTTGAACCGCCAACCTTGTGGTTCAAACCAACCTTGGGATCCAATGTTTTATCCTACAGTGCCACATCAGGACTACTGTAAGGAACTTGGAAGAATGTTAACTAGGCAACTTCACAAGATTGAAAGATTGAAGAAACTGCAGCTGAAATCCAGGTAAACAGATGAAACTGAAAAACTTCAGGAAACTGACATAATTGAAAAAATGGGAACCATACAAAAATAGCAATTAGAAAGCCAAAAGATTATCACTAACATTTCAGAAATAGTTAACACTTAACGGGCAAAGAAATAGGACTGAATCAATGAAAGGGTGAATTACTGAGCTTGAAGAAAAGTCTCTCAATATTCATCTGCTGGAGGAACAATCAGAAAAAAGAACAAAAAAATCTGAAGAAAAACCTAAGATTTATATGAGAAACTATCAAGAGAAATAATTTATATGTGATAGGAATTCCGTTGCAGGAAGAAACCAAAAATCCCCACAGAGAATATAATACTGTCCAAGAGTTGTTACAAGAAAACTTCACTAACATCATGAAAGATGAGAAGATAGCCATTCAAGTAGTTGAACAAACTCTGAATAAGATTTGGTGTTAAGTGCTGTCGAGTCGGTTCTAACTCATAGTGACCCTGTATAGGGTTTCAGAGGAGCAGATGGTGGGTTTGAACTGCCGACCTTGTGGTTTGCAGTCCAGTACTGACCCTACAGCACCACCCAAGGAGTCCCAGCCTCTCACCCTTATCACCCCCCAACCCCCGCTCCCAAAAAAGGAATATAGGAAGAAAAGGGTCTAAAGTCACTTAACCAATCTTTGTGGGCCTATTTTCCCATCAGTGAAATAAGGAGATGCAACTAGATCAGTGTTCTTAATCCTGACTTCACAGTACAACTACCTGGGGAGCTTCTGAAAATGCCCAGGTCAGCAATTCAAATTCAGTGGTCTGTGGCATTTTAAAAACGCGGAGGATTCAGATGAGCAGCCAGGATAGAGAATCCCTGGACTAGATGGTGTCAAATGGTTCCTTCTAGCTCTAAAGTTGTAAGATTCTAAGAAAAAGGCTAAAGAAAGATGGAAGGGAAAAAGAAAAAAGAAAGGGGAGTGAGGGAGAGAGGACAAGACGACTAGAAAGAAATGAAATTCAATGGTAAAGAGTACTAGGTCTTCCCAAGGAATGGGAGTGCTGTCACAGACTGTCTCAGCTGCCCCTTTCACAGGCAGCCCCCCATGGGGGGCTCTGGCCCAGGCACTGAGCAGATACTCATGCCAGGACCCCTGGCTTCCAGATGAGCGCTCCAGCACCCCCTACTCTATTTCTCTGACTCACACTGCATTTGAATCTGTATTTCTCTGCCCCTCACTTCCAACCCACACGGTATTTCCTGTCCCTTTCCAGAATACAATTGAAAACACTTGAGGTGTCCTGTCTTCTCATCATCTAGACTCAGAATTCACCAGGTATTCACAGAGCTTAGCGCCAACACAGCACCAGGTAGATGGCTGGCATCTAAGAAGTGGTGCGTATACTGGCTGCACGAACAGGTGTATGAAGCACAGCTTGAGACCAGACTGCAGCAGAGGATGTGGCCCTGGTGGCCACTCAGGTGCTTCTGTCCCTCACAGTTCCTCACACATCCAATCCTGGAGAGCAGATGAAACAGCGCACATAGCCTGAAGCCCTTCTACCTCCACATCCTCCTGGCTCTCCTATCCCCAGGGCACACTCTGGACATACCAGGTTCAGAACCACTGCCATCTAAAGAGCGGGGAGTCCCGGGGTTGAGCAAATGCAGCGGGGAAGTGGGCAGCTCCCCAGCTTCCCGGTCTTCATTTTCTGCTTCACTTGACTCCTCCAGATAGGAGCTGCTCTCGCTGCCCACGCTACTGTTATAAGCCCGAAAGCTGTCGTAGCCACCAAAGAGCTCCAAGTCATCTTCCTCTTCTTCCTCCATGCGTCCTGAAGATGGGGCCTCCTAGAAGAAGGAAAATACAACTAAGCAGGAGGAATTGTGGTTGGCTTAGTGACTGGGGAGGGAGCCTGAAGATTTGTTATCAGCCCCCTTCCCAGTTCCCTGTCAAATCAATACTTTGGGGCACCTTTTTGCTACGCCAAGATCATGACTTATGTTTAGATGACATTTCTCCACAACTCAACAGAAGAGTGTCGTAAAAACCAAATGAAACCCAAACCTATTATCAGTGCATTGATTCTGTGACCCATAGGAGACACCAGAATTGCGTCATAGTATCTCTGAGTCTATAATCTTTAGGGACGCAGACTGCCACAGCTTTTTCCCTCAAGAAGTGGATGGTGGATTTGAACCAGGCGATGCTTAACCATTACACTACCAGGGATCCTATGAAGAGCTTTATAGGATAGAAAATACATATTAGAAATTCACCAAGTTTCTTAGGTGGATTTACAAATGACATTTTAACATGGTTCAAACTGAAAACACTCCAGGGAAGATGTCCCATAAAAAGGATGAGATAGAAGATATACATACTAGAAATGCATTCTTCCCTTTCAGCATACGTACACCAAAACAATTTCAACTCAAATACAGTTCACGTTGTTAAGTGCCATATGTTGTTGTTGTCATAAAGTGCCGTCGAGTCAGTTCTGACCCATAGCGACCCTGTACAGGGTTTCCGAGGCTGTAAATCTTTACGGGAGTAGAAAGCCTCATTTTTCTCCCGTAGAGCAGCTGGTAGTTTCAAACTGCTGACCTTAAAGTTCGCAGCCCGATTCATAACTACTACACTACCAAACTCCTTATAGTCGTATAGTGCTGTATAGTTGGTTCCAATTCATAGTGACACTGTATAGGGTTTTCAAGGAACAGCTTGATGGGTTTGAACCATCAACTTTGCAGTTTAAAGCAACCTTTAGGCCCAGTACTTATCCTACAGCACCATACCAGAAGTCCCTCAGTTGACACTGTTGTTGTTGTTAAGTGCCATCGAGTTGATTGCCACCCATAGGGGTCCTGTATAGGGTTTCCAAGGAGCAGCTGGTGAGCTTGAACCACCGGCTTTGCAGTTCAAATTACTGCAATCTGACAAATCAGTCCACAGTGCCACACCAGGACTCCCAGTTGACACTGTTGTTGTTGTTGTGAAATGCTGTCAAGTCGGTTCCGACCCATAGCGACCCTGTACAGGGTTTCCTAAGAGCAGCTGGTAAGCTTGAACTGCCAACCTTGTAGTTCAAACGGCTTTACAGTCTGGCACATTAACCCAGGAGCAATTAATCTGGGACCCAGACTATACCCAAAAAGATTTGGGAGGCTAATGACACACAGTAACTATGGCATATTGAAATGCACCACAGTGTGTTCCTAACTAGTTGTGAGTCCTTGGGCAAGTCACTTAGCCACTTTGGCCCTCAGTTTTCTCAACTATAAAATAAAACGATTTGGCTCACAGGAGCATCTGGGATGTAAATGACACACTGTAGACAGATCTCCCAGCATCCACTGTCACTGAGTGGATTCCGACTCCTAATGACCCTATTGTTGTTGTTGTTGTTGTTATGTGCCGTGGAGTCGGAACCGACTCATAGCGACCCTGTACAGGGTTTCCGAGGATGTAAATCTTTACGGGAGTAGAAAGCCTCATCTTTCTCCCGCGGAGCAGCTGGTAGTTTCGAACTGCTGACCTTGCGGTTCACAGCCCAAGTCGTAACCACTACGCTACCAGAGCTCCTTAATGACCCTATAGGGCTTCAGAAACCTGAGACTGTAAATCTTGATGGGAGAAGACATCTTATCTTTCTTTCTCAGAGTGGCTGGTGGAATAGGTTTGAACCATCAAACTTGTGGTTAGTAATCCGAAATCTACCCACAGCACCACTAGGACCTTCCCGATATTCCTCTCCAAACTACATTCTCTTCCCAAATAAATGAAATGGTGTAGCAAAGGGGAAAGCTTGGGCTCTGGATCAGGGCTCAATAGTGTTTCCACTGCTTACTAAGGTAACCTTGTAGTTAAAAGCATGCAGCTACTAATCAAAAGATCAGTGGTTCAAATCAACCAGCAGCAATGGAAGAAAAGATCTGAGGATCTGTTCCTATAAAGAATGTTAGAGCACTGCCCAGTCCTGCACCATCCTCACTGACGTTCACCCACCTCATTGACGGCCTTCTTTTTCACTGACCCACTACTTCATGAAGCATGATGTCCTTCTCGAGGGACTGGTCCCTCCTGATAACATGTCCAAAGTATGTGAGACAAAGCCTTACCACGCTTGCTTCTTCTAAGGAGCAGAAATTCTGGCTGCACTTCTTCCAATACAGATCTGCCTAGGAAGCTCTATGGGACAATTCTAGGCCGTAATACATGAGATGGCTATGGGTAGGAATCAACTCAACAACACACAGCAACACAGGACCTACAGCAAATCTCTCAGGGCTTCAGTTTTGGGATCTGTAAAATCTGGATAATACAATCTATTTCATAATATTTGGGGAGAAGAGTTACAAATAAAGCACTCAGAACAGTGCCTTGCACTTAATAAGCACTGAGTAAATATTAGCAATTATCATTACCAAAAAATATTCTGACAAGGTTAATTTTATTGAATGTATTTGATTTTGAAAAAATCTTTTTTCAGCCCAGCCAAGTCTGGAGAACAAAATACATATTAAACAGTTAAAAAAGCATGCTCTTTCCAAACAGATGTGCCTGTGTGTGAATTCTGACACTATGATTTATTAACTGTGATTTTGGGTAAGCTATTTAACCCGCTAAGGAGTTCTGGTAGCATAGTGGTTACGAATCGGGCTGCGAAACTTAAGGTCAGCAGTTCAAAACTCCCAGCTGTTCCGCGGGAGAAAGATGAGGTTTTAAGCTCCTATAAAGATTTACACCTCAGAAACCCTGTACAGGGTCGCTATGAGTCGGTTCCGACTCCACGGCACATATCCACCAACCACCACCATTTAACCTGCTACCCTCGGTTTCTTCATCAGTACAAGAGATACTAACAAGCCTTTAGAAGAACCCTGGTGGCATAGTGGGTTAAGTCCTGGGCTGATAATCACCAGGTCAGCAGTTCAAACCTACCAGCTGGTCCAGTAAAGATTTATTGTCTCAGAAACCCCAGGGAGCAGCTATACTGTAACCTATAGGGTTGTTAAAAGTCAGAATCCACTCTACAGCAGTGAGTTTAGGTTTAGTTTGTGAGGATTTGATAAAATATGTGGTGCCTGATCCTGTTTCTGTTTCAGAAGGAGCTCTGGTAGCATAGTGATTACAAATCTGGCTGCTAACCTCAAGATCCGCAACTTGAAATTACCAGCTGTTCCACAGGATAAAGTTGAGGCTTTCCGGTAAAGATTCACAGTCTCAGCTCGTTATGAGTTGGAACCAACTCGAAGGCATTTAACAACAATTCTGTTGCCAGCACTAACAGAATGAAAGTGTTGCACTATTATTAATGATTCTCCACTCAGTAACTTTACGTTGTAGAGTTTTAGAGCTACTCTGGCAGAAAGAAAATTCCACTCAAATGAAGGGTACCCAAATCAAATGATGAACGGCTGGGTGGTGGTGGTGGTAAGTGCCCTGGAATTGGTTCTGACTCAGCGACCCTGCATAGGAGCAGCTGCTGGGTTGAACCACCAACCTAGCAGTTAGCAGTCGTTTGCTTATCATACAGCATCATACCAGGGGTCCTGTTATAGGATGTTGTTGTTAAGTAGCGGTTGAGTCCCTTCCGACTGGTAAACGACCCTGTTTGTCGTTGTTATGTGCCGTGGAGTCAGTTCTGACTCATAGCGACCCTGTACAGGGTTTCTGAGACTGTAAATCTTTACGGGAGCAGAAAGCCTCATCTTTCTCCGTACTGGTAGTTTCAAACTGCTGACCATGAGATTAGCAGCCCGATTCGTAACCACTACGCTACCTGGGCTCCTTTTATATAGGTTTATGAGGCTGCTAATCTTCACACAAGCACAAAGCGTCATCTTTCTCCCACGGAGTGGCTGATAGATTTGAACTGTTAACTAACAGCCCAGCTTGTAATCCACTACTAGCCGGGATCCTTAGCTATTTACAAAGCACCTGGTACATATCAGGAGCTGTCTGCAGTTTTAGGTTTGTCCCAGTCTGGCGGCCTCTAGTGCTCTCAGCTTTTCCAAACAAAGAAAAAACACCTTTGACTTCTTGTTGCGGCTGTTACATGCCATCAAGTTGGTTCTGACTCATAGCGACCCTGTCTAGGGTTTCCCAGGAACGGCTGGCGGGCTCAAACCACAGACCTTGTGGTCCCGGGCATCATCTGCAGCGCCACACCAGGGCTCCGTTAAAGGGAGGAGAGGAATGGGAAAGCCTAACAGGTAGGGTTTAGGAGCCTGGCCGACTTCGTGCCCACTTTCCAGCTGACTGACCCCCTACCAGCGGAGTCGCACAGCCTTCCCAAGTCTCAGGTGCTTAACCTTAAGAACGAATCAATAACGCTAGACTGTTGTGATCTAAGGGGAGATCGCTCCAGGCATGGATGAATGTTCATTAAACTTAAATCTGCCTTCACTCCATCCCAGGATGTGACAAGCCTCACAATCTCTCAAGAAGAGGACCCCGAGACGGCGAGGACACAGAGGACTCGGGAGAGCCCGGAGCCTGGGGTCCAGCGCCCTTGCTCCTAGGCTAGGGAAGGCTGTTCCTTTCTCCAGCTCAGCCGGAGGGGAGCAGAAGGCAAGGCCAATCGCTCGTGGCCCCGACTCAGCCCAACTCCTTCAATTTATCGCTCCTTCCACCCTCCAGACGTCGCGGAAAAGCCTAAGGAAAGGTTCACCAGGCGAGACACTCGGGGCTCCAGTGCCCACTCGCGCGAAGCTCTCACCCCCTCACCTCGATGCCCCTGGGCTTCTCCATGAGACCTAGCACAATTTCTTCAACCGTCACCAGGTGCAAGAAGCCATATTGGCCTCGGAGCTTCCCCGAGCGCATTCATTGGCTGCCTCGCTAAGCAGCGGACCAATCACGCTGCAGGAAAAAGGAAAAGCTTTTTTTTGCCGCCGCTCCACCTGATGTGGGCGGGAAGGCCGCGGGCGGTTATGGGAGTTTAAGTTCCCCGAGTCTTTGCGAGTGTGGCAGTGTTGCCATAGTGACGTGAAAATTGCGTGACGCGACCTTCTAGATGCCTGTCGCCGACTGTTTTTAGTCTCTGTCAGAATCTTACCCTAACCCTGGCCCTTTTCTTCATTAAACAATTACTGAGCACCTACAAGGGCATTCGGACTCCTGGTGTGGAGCTGTAGGATCAGCACTGAATTGTGAAACCGCAAGCTCGGCAGTTCAAACCCATCAGCGGCTCCTCGGAAATTCTATACAGGGTTGGTAAGATTCGGCACCAACTCGATGGTACTTAATCAACATAGCCACAACGTAGGCACTTAGGTGGCGCTGTAATTCAAACCCACCAGCCAATGGAGAAACCGGACAGGAAGCTGTCTGCTCCAGTAGACATTTGCAGTCTCGGAAATCCACTGTGAGTCTCAGTGGACTAGAAGGCCGTAGTGGTGCAGTGGTTAATGCATTCAACAGCTAATGGAAAGGTTTTTGTTGTTGTTGTTAGGTGCCGTGGGTATCGACTCATAGCGATCTTATGCGCAACAGAACGAAGCACTGTCGGGTTCTGCGCTCATCTCACAGTCGTCCATCATCAACAACCGAAAGGTACACGGTTCAAATCCAGCCAGCACTCTGAGGGAGACGGATGTGGCGATTTGCTTCCATAAAGACTTATCAGCCTTGGAAACCCATTTGCACAGTTCTACTCTGTCCTATCGAGTCCCTATGGGTTGAAATCAACTACACGTTTGGGTTTATATTGGGTTTGGGTTTAAATAAGCACTGTGCCAAACACGAAAGATAACCCTGTAGGGCTTTCAGTTCAGGCAGAAAACTGGAATCATTTCATGCCTAATGTCATAACTGTTCTGGATGCTTAAATTCTGCAGCATTCTTCGACCATCATTTCCTAAATAAAACCTGAGGTTTTCAGACATCTCATTTGGATTTACCACCATCCGTGCTATCCTGAGGGGGGTATAGGAGGTTGGACTGTATTGGGTGATACTGGCATGAAGGGATGACACCAAGAGATAAGATTTTTCTGCAGTGTTCTTTTTAATACAAATATCCCTGTAGTTAATTATTGTGGGAGTAAGAGGCAGCTGTCTGTTCCGTTGAAGATTTAAAGCCTCAGAAACCCTGTACAAGGTCACAATGAGTTGGAACTAACTCGAAGGTACTGCTCTTATAGTTAGGTGCTCTGGAGCGGTTTCCACTCATAACAACCCTATGCCAACAGAATGAAACACTGCCCAGTCCTGCGCCATCCACACAACTTTTGTTACGTGTAAGCCCATTGCTGCTGCCACTGTGTCAATCCATTTCATTGGGGGTGTTCTCTTTTTCTCTGACCCTTGACTTTACCAAGCATGATGTCCTTCTCCAAGGACTAGTCCCTCCTGATAACCATCCTTGCTTCAAAGGAGCATTCTGACTGTACTTCGTCCATCACAAATTTGTTTGATCTTCTAGCAGTCTTTAAATAGTCTTCTCTAACACCAGAATTCAAATAATTCATTCTTCTAAGGTCTTCTATATTCATTATGGATAATGCCTCAGAAGGTATTGAAAATACCGGGGCTTGGCTCAGGTGTCTCTTAGTCCTCAAACTGATTGTCTTTGCTCTTAAATACTTTAAAGAGGTTTTGTGTTGCAAATTTGCCTAATGCAATATGTTGTTTGGGAAGATAATATGTTTCTAGAAATTTGTCTATTTCATCTAGGTTTTCAAATTTGTGGAAGTACAATTTTCATAGTAGTTATAATCTTCTTTATCAAATTGGTTGTAATATCACCAATTTCATTTCTTAATTTATTTGCCTCTTTTGTGTTTTGTTTTTTTTCTTTTGTCAATCTAGCCAGTGTTTAGTCTGTTTTATTGATTCTTCCAAAGAACCAACTTCTGGTTTAGTTGATTCTTTCCATTTTTTTTTTTTTTTTAATTTCACTTATTTCTGCCCTAATCTTTATTATTTCCATTTTTTTTCTGGTAGCTTCTAGCTTAATTTGCTCTTCTTTTTTTATTTGTTCAAAGTGTTGGTTTTAGTGGATGATTTTGGGTCTTTCCTTGTTTTAATGTAGGCGTTTATTATTACAGATGTCCCTTTGAGTACTGCTTTTGCTGTGTCCCAAAGTTTTGACATGTTATATTTTCATTGTTGTTGGGTTCTAGGGAGATCTTTCCCTCAACCCTTTCTTTCTACCTCTAAATCCAGCTCCCATGCTGTCAACAAGTACTGTTGGTTGTTGTTTTTTTAACCTCCACAGTGTATCTAGTATGCCTCCATCACAACTACCTGTAATAGCTGGTTACTGCCACAGTCTTCCAACTAGTCTCTCTGTTTTAAATCTTATATTTCTTCAATTCACAAAGCAACCAGGTACTCTTTTAAAAACATAAATCTGATCATATCTTCCCTTGCTTAAGCCCTCTCCCTCCACCCCAATGACTTCTTGTACTTTGAATAAGATCCACAAGACACTAAAAGATTTAATCCCAGCTTTCTCTCCAACATCTTCTTATAACACCTTCTCCACCTGTTGCTGTGCCCAGCACTCTCTCTTCTTCTTGTTTCGTGAGTACCAAGCATGAGTCTGTACTTTCTATTCCATCTCTGTGGAACATTGTTTCCACAGCTCTTCCCACGGGTAGCTCTTCATTTCAAGATCTTAGCTCAAAGTCTTCTCCTCAGAGGCCTTCTTACCTGAAATAGTGACTCCCACCCCTTTTTCTGTATCTCATTTCCTCATCTTACAGGGCTTACTTGTTTCTGTCTGAAATCATCTTGTTCATTTGTTTACTTGTTTGTTGCCTAGCTCCCACTACTAGAATGCAAGCCCCTTGAGGTCAGGGACTTCTTGTCCTTTACTGTATTTCCATGGATCAAAACAGAGCCTAGCATACAGTAGGTGCTCAATGACCAAAAGACTAGACAATGAGACTTCAGGGAGTACACAGGCTGCTTCATGAAGGCAGAGCACTGGATTGGGTAACTTGCTACTGTGACGATTGTGAGCTCTTTATTTTAATGATTTATTTATTTAATCATGAGGATACCTCTGGGTCTCATTTGCCTCATCTGAGAAATAGGCCAGCATGATTATATTAACTTCATCCTGCTTGAAAAGTTCTATGATTTCAGAGTGTAATAAACAACTCACAAGTCAGTTATCCAACATGATAAACAGTTGGAGCCTAGGTTTCATTTATAAAATGGAAATAATAGGCCTACTTCATTGGGTCTTTGTGAGAATTAGAAATAATCAACGTACAGTGCCTGGCACTTAGGAGAGTACTGAATGGTTATTGTTATCCTATTAAACACTGGAATAGCAACATGTAGGTAGTGCAGTGGATTATAAGATGGGCTGCTAACTGCAAGGTCAGCAATTTGGATCTCCCAGCCACTCTGCTGGTAGGTGTCTGCTCCTGTAAAGAGTTCTAGACTCGGAAACCCTAGAGAGGGTTTCTATGAGTTCCAACTGACTCAGTGGCACACAACCATCACTACCACCAGAATAGTAAACCAACCGTTATTGATTGAATTGTGCTCTCCTCAAAAGATTCGTTGAACACTTTCAGCAAGATGGTGTCCTAGGCAGATATCCTACATTAACCATCTACAACAAAGATAATGAAAGACTGCAGGGAGCGCTTAACTCTGGGTGCTTGGCAAGGCCGCACTAAGAGGAGAGACATTATGCACAGCATATGATTCTCAAAAGCTGACCCCTATCTTCCCTTCAAGTTAGCCCTGAATTTACTTGTAAAAATATATAATATGGCAATATTCTCAGCTTTCACTATAAATTCTACAAACCTTAGGAAAAACTGGCTTAGCAGCAATTGCTTTCAGCGTTGGTGGATTGAATACAAAGAGAAATTGTATAAATTACCCCTTTCCTTAGAAAACCTAAGTAATTGCATTTGTGAGGCCACAAAAGCAGATAGCATATTAGAGTCAAGCTAACCTACCCTCATAGGCCTCACCACACTCAGTCACTAGCTAGAATTCTCAAACCCCTACATATAGACACCTGCGTAAATAAGCTGACACTAATGAACTTAAGTGAAGGATAGTTTTGACTTTATAATCTACACTTCTTGCAGCAAATAACCAAGTTGGGCTTTATGTCACATAGCTTCTAAGTGATTTAATGAATATCTTTATTATGAAAATAATAGCACATTATGTAGGATAGAAGTTTATAATATTTTAGTACAAACAAGAAGAAACATTTTTATCTCATACTGGGAAAGAACATGAAGGTCAGTCTGAACATCACAGAAGTATTTTTGTTAAGGCTGTCTAAGGACCAGGTGCAAGAATGTTGTGACTAACTGTGTAATAATTCAAGAAATGATAAAAGTGTCAATGCATGTACTGTGTAATTTTAAGTATAAAAAATAAAGACTAGCTGAGCTGGGCTGGCAGAGCAGGCAGAAGTGGCAGGAGGAGGTAGAGGGAAGGCAGAGCTAGGAGGAAGAAGAAGAGGGCAGGAGAGAGAAGGCAGAGAACAGACAGCAGAGAGCACAGGAAGCAGAAGCAAGGGCAGAAGCTAGAGAGCATAGCCGGACAGCACAACGAGTTGAAAAGCCTCTCAAGTTGTATTCATTCATTTCTTCACCCGACGTTTCCGTGTATTCGCTCATGTCCCACGACCCCCGCGGAGGGCAGGAACCCCCCGCAAAAGACAAAATAGACACAGATGAAACTTCTGGCATATTGAACTTCAGAAGAAAGGTTAGTGAAGTGGCTAGTGTGCTTGCTGGCAGGAGAGGCCGAGCAGGGACGGTG